AAAGTTCTAGATGGAGGGAAATAATCTCTAGAGACCGCAAATTTAGTAGCTTCATATAAAATTTTATTGAAGATCAATCAAAATAAAGATAACCAATAGAAGTTTGAAATCGTAAGAAAGTTCTTTCCCATAACTTAGAATTGTTTAAAATTTTGAATTTAAATCAACCTTTATATCTTTTTATGATGCTTCTACAAACAAATATATAAGTCAAAAAATTGTGCTTAGTTATCACAATAAAACAAAATTTGAAGAAAGCTTAATGAATCAATGAGCCACTTTGACTGATGTATAAGAACATGAAAAGTGTGTAAACAAATAACCAAAACAGTCGCAGCACTGATGGCTAATGGAAATAATTGATGTGAAGGAAATGAAAAAGAAAAGGAACTTACACTCGATGCAACGGCAGCCCATGAGAAGAGCTTGTGCATATGAGTCCAGTGAAGACTCTGAACGCAGCTGGTCGCCAGTCAGATACCTTAAGAATCAAAATACTAAGAAAAGTTTGATAACTCTACAAAATTTATGAAACGTACGTATTATGACTACTAGCAATCCAGTAATGTGACAAGGGCCTAGTCATATCTTGGATAACTTTCTCATTCATTGAGTCCCAAATAGAGTTCTCTCGGGAGAAGAGGAAGTCGCAAAACTGGAATCCACTTTCTTGCGTACCGATTTCCAAATATGAGCAAAACAAAAACTTGCCTCCATAACAGAAAGGGAGGGCTCTTCCGTCACAACTTCATTAAGATACTCCTCCACATTCAGAAACCAAAAAAATCACAAATACAGTAGGTCGAAGTTTGAAAAACTTGATCTTTATGTTACCTTCTCAAAAAATCTACAACCCGTGCTCTGTTTGAAATCATTTCATCCCTTTGCATATTTTCAAGAAATCGCATAAAGCTGACGAATGTGATGGTTGTACCATCTTGAGATAATTCAGCAAACCTCGACATGAACAGCTGAAAATATTTGTGATTCGTGGGCTACCAGAAAATATAGCGTTTGGTCTTACTGGATGAGAATGAATAAAATTTCTTGTAGCTTTTGAAAATTGCAGGAGATTCATCTGGTCCTCTGTGACTTCTTGAAGTTGTCTTGAAGATACTTTGTACTGTAAAGACGTCTGAACAAATGGCTTCATATGCTTCCTCGCAACACTAAAATGATAGATTCTCAGGGAAATGTGAGAAATGGAAGATTAAGAGACAATCCCAATTACAATTCAGATCCGGGTGTAACAAGATTGTAGAAGTGTTTTGCGATAAATCGTTCGATGCGAGCGGTATGACTGGAGGAGAACCGATCTCGAGTGTCAAGCATGAGATTGTGCACTCCTTCGTTCCACAAGCGACATGCTTCGGAAGATTCAACTAAAAATGTTAGGAATCACTCTCAAATCTCAGCAGAGCTGAAACACAATCTCAAAACACTTCAATACATTAATGACTAGCATTCTGTTACTTCGGCTGGCTCATTTCGCATTCTAAGGATAAATTCTATAACATTCTTTCATTCATTATGAAATTTGTCAAATTTTATTTGAAATAACGCAGGAAAATTCAGCCTTAGATATGACACAATGTTCTCTGCACATCTGAAATGTCATTTAAAGCTATTTAGAAGAATATATTACTCGGGTCGCATATACATCTGAAATTGATACAATCATCTAGAAGAATAGGTTTTGAATGCCGAAAAGAAGAAGAAAAAGGAGAGCGTTAGTGTAGACATTTTCGGTCAAGCTTTAAGCGGTAAAACCTAAGACTGGTGCATTTGTTCTAGGAGACGAGGTTTTCCTAAAAACGTTTCTGGTCAATCAATCTGGATATCAGTTACATACTTTTCCATTTGCAAGAATATTGTTTTCCATTATTTATCAATCATTCCTATTTACTATGTCCTTTTTGCCGAGGTTATCCTATAAACTTCAACAGAAGAGTATCAGCGAGTAGTCTCGAAGATCTGATCTGTGTGTTAACTGAATTTTTCTAAAGTTCCAAAAAC